AGAGGGGGAGGGAGTGGGGAGTGGGAGCAGGGGGGCTTGGACCCCATAGAGGGGAAGGAACCAGAGATGGGGGGCAGAGGAGCTTGGGCCCCACAGAGGGGGAGGGACTGGGGATGGGAGGGCTGAGGAACTCAGACCCCACAGTGGAGGGAGGGACCTAGCATGGGGGGAAGAGGGGCTCAGCCTCTCCCTGCTCCCAGAAAATGATGGATCAGGCCTGGGAAGCTGAAATGGGTCTGACACCCCCTGCTCCCAGGATCTATTCTAGGGTGTGCCCCAGCGGGGAGGGGTTTGGTGCCCTCTGAGCTTTCTCCCCTCCCCCCACCCCCTTAGGGACACCTGGGGAGTGTGAGCTGATCCTCATTGGGCTGGGTCCCCTTTGGAGCCCTCAGTAGCTGCAGCAGCAGGATGCGGGGCTGGGGGGCGGTTGCATGGACCTTTTCCCTCTTTGGGGCAGATTTGTGTTCTCTTCTCTAAGCCAGAGCTTGGGGAGAAACCCCCGGCTGAGGCTGTGGCCTCTCCTTTCCATAGCCCAGTAGGGAACAGAGATGGGCAGGGTCTCACTGGCTTCTCCCCCTCCTGCTACCTCCAGATGATCCACCCTCTGTCCCTTCGCCCCAGCCCCCCGAAGTAGGGAGTGGAAGCCAGCAGACACTGCTCCCATCCTATCAGCCTGGGGGGACATCCTGCTGCTCGTGAGCCCCCAGCGCTGTCGGCAGTTGCCGTGGGATAATCCAGAGCGTATTTTGTTTATCTGGCCTCCCGCGGCATTCCCCAGCAGATCAAAGGGCTACAGCCTGGGAACGCTGGACCCATCGCGTGGGAGATGGGCTGAGCTGGCTGATGTTTACAGAGACTCGCAGGCAGGGCTGGCAGGTCAGGAGTCTGCTCTAAACGGGATGGGGTTTGCACGGAAGAGCCTGTCTGCTCAGTAGCAACTTCTGTGCCAGGGTAGGTCCCAGTGGGGCACACTTTACAGCTGGGGGAAACTGAGGCATAGAGCCAGGAAGGAACTTGATTTGCAGCCTTCCTTATCTGTGCGTGGCAGCCTTGATGGGTTGGATCGCCTCTGGGTAGAACAGCACTTTGGGGAGTTCCCATCCTCGTGGGGAATTAGAAATTGCTCCTCCGTCTCCTTGATCATTGGGGTGTGCTGAAGGCCGGCTGGTGAGCTGGGGCAAAGTAGTGCTCTCTGGGATTGCAGCTGCATTGGAGGTGAGGGGGACAAACAAACTCTCCCTCTCTCCTCTCCACCCCATCTGTCTTGGTACAAGAGGGAGTCTAGGCAGGGGAGCTGCCCCTCTCCGTAAGATGAAGCATGAGAACCCACAGCTCCCTGCAGGAGAAGGGAGGGTCTGTGTCCGAGGGGCTTCTCCGGAGGCTGTACCAAGCATGGGTGGGTTTCCCATGGCACTAAACCGCTTTGTGTAATGATCACTCGGGGTGCTTTGTTTTGTAAGAACATAAGAAAGGCCGCACTGGGTCAGACCAAAGGTCCATCCAGCCCAGTGTCCTGTCTGCCGACAGTGGCCAGTGAAAGCGGCACCATCGCTAGCAGCGGCACAGGCGTAAGGATGACACGGTATGGTGCTGCCAGCCTTGCTTCTGTGCTGCTGCTTGCAGAGTTGGTCTCCCAGTCATCAGCCTCCCCGTGTGACCACCTAGCTCTAATGGCAGTGCCACCGCCAGCAGCAGCACAGAAAGGCTACGTGTGATATTGCGACCCCTCTGCACAGCTGGTGGAGGTGGGTGTGACCTAGCTCTGGGGTACCTCCCATTCTGCCCCTCTCCAGCACTTGGCAGCTATAGGGGCTTGGGATGGCTGTGTGCGTGGAGGCGGTGATCACAGCACCCCCAAACCTTGGGGCCTTGTCACCCACATCAACTACTCCACAACCAGCCTTGCCCCCCCAAAAGTGACCCACCCCCATGTCACCCTCATTTCTGTGCTGCTGCTTTCGAGCTGGATGCCTGGCCAGCAGCCACTGGTCTCTGACCGTCCAGCTCTGAAGGCAGTGCAGATAGGGGGGAAAAAACTGCAATCCCCTAAACACCCAAATTTCAGGGGGTGGAGCACTAGATTTCACAGTCCGGGATGAGTGTTTCATGGCCATGAATTTAGCAGGGTCCTGCCCCAGAGGTATCCAGAGCCCCCATAGTCTATCTAAAGGATCTGGAAAGTGCCTGGATTTTCCCGGGTCAACAAAAAGTGCAGCCGTACACCACTGGGACTGATTATGGATTTTAACTCCCTTCTCTGAGCTCCCTATGGCATTTCCATCCTCGCTGCGACTTTTACAGCCTAAGTTCCTTGGGGCAGAGGGTGTTTACTTCCACGTGTTGTACAGCAATGAGCAGATCACAGATGCTTCAACAACTGGCATTTATTCATGCTGAAGAAAGGTGCTGGGCTGGCAGGACAGTGCAGCTTCTATCTTCTCTTCTACCACCATCTCCTGCCCACTGGCCTTACCCCTGGCACGGAGGGACCATCTTTAAAGATGGGGGGTGATTTCAGATTCCTGAGAGCAAGGTTTAAGGTGGGGGAGGAAGTGGCTTGCACTATGGACATGCGCTCCAGGGAACTGGATTAAGACCCTTTGCTAGGCTAGAAAAAAGACCAAAAAGGGACTTGTGATCAAATGTTGTGTAGGGGATGAGACAAGTTTGAACAGGGCTGACCACGTCATGGGGGGTTGAGGGTGTCATGCCTGCTCACAGGGATAGCTGCAAGACTCTGAGGGGTCTCAGCTGGTCTGGTGTGATACCCATTTACCTTCTAGGGTTTCGCTTCCTTGCACGTGAAGCCAGAGTCCTGCCACCTCCTGCCCTGTCTCTCCCCTCCCCCATTGCACCACATCCCCCAGCCTGGGGAGGGTTACAGCTTCCAGGGGGCCTGTTGTGGGGCGGCAGCAGCAGGGGTGAGGACCCCGCCCCCCCCCCCGCCACACTCACCGCAGCGATTGGCAGCGGCAGGGAAATGGAGCATTCGCTCCCCTTCCTCCTGCCCCCTGTATTTGCAGATTTCGCCATTCACGGTGGTGTTGGGAACGCATCCACAGCGAACGGCAAGGTTTTACTGTACTGCAATTTCCCTGACAGTAACCTTGCAGTCCCCTCCCTGACCCTTCTTGGCTCAGGCACGGCCGGCTCACAACATTTTGGCACCGGAGGCGGGGAGCTCAAATGACGCCCCCATTTCCCCCCACTTGGGCCAAAACTTTGAAAGGTCTCAATTCTGCCTCCTTCCTGTTCTACTCCTCTCATGGCACACCACCATCTCTGTGCATCTAGAGCAGAGAGAATACATCTGCACCAGCAGCAGACACAATGTTCTACACTCTGGGTCCTAGTGGTGCCCCCCCCCCCCACACACACAGTTGGGCACCTGGTAAGACCAGCCCTGGGCTCACATATTCAAACCCCATGAAATGTCAGATTTCAATAGCCAAAATCATGAAATTGACGATTTAAAAAGTCCCTGGACCATGAAACTGACCAAAACGGACTGTGACTTTGACAGGAGCTTCTCTAGGGGCTCTGGATGGCACATGGCTAAGTGCTGATGGTGCTGTTTGTTCTGGCGCCCTTCCTCACCCCTTCGCCCCACTGTAAGATGGGCACTTGAGACGTACCTGCGAAAGAAAACCTCGCCACGTATTCAGAACACTCTGGGGACAGTTCTTAATTTGACATCAGCTCAGAGCTGGCACGTACTTTTTTTTTTATTAAATAGTTCCATGGGAACATAGTTAAAGGAAAAAAATCAGACCGACATA